GACATACATGGGACAAAAATTTTCAAACTTTATATATACATACACGTGATGTTATAATTACAGTAGTCTTCCGTCACATTCATTACAGATATAATCAAAATGGGACTTAGCCCAATGTACTGATAAACAGAAAACTTGTTCATATTCCAAAAAGAAAATAAAGTCTTAACGTTCACAAAACATGACCACTCGACTCTTTTCGGAACTTCATTGGGAGGCACAAAGGGTGGCCGACAAAACAGAAGTCTAGGCGATCAACTCTGAGCTTGGCCACACTACTACAAAAATAGTTAAAGATCACACTTTGACAAAAAAGAAGATCTCACTTTTATTGGAAGTGTGATAAAAAAAATTAGATTGATATTTTAATCACACTTAATTTAATTGAGTGTGATAATATTTATTTTTTATGTCACTTTTCAATTAAGTGTGATTATATATATATTTTTTTGTGATTGCATAAAATATTTCAATTTGATTTTTATATAAAATATATAATTCCCAAATCCGCACCTCTATTCTACCCATGAATGATAGAGACGACTCACTACTAGAAAAGAAGGCTTTAGACACGGAGCTTTTTCACCCATTTTTTCATCTTCCTATCTCTCTGTCTCTGTCTTTCTTCTCTCTCTCTCTCTCTTTCTCTCTCTCTCTCTCACTCACTCATTACTCTTCTCTGTCTGTCTGTCTCTCTCTTTCTCTCTGTGTCTCTTATTTTTTTCTCTCTCACTCATCACTCTTCTCTGTCTGTCTATCTCTCTCTTTCTCTCTGTGTCTCTATCTCTCTTATTTTTCTCTCTCTCACTCATCACTCTTCTCTGTCTGTCTGTCTCTCTCTCTCTCTCTCTCTTTCTCTCTGTGTCTCTCATCTATCTCTCTTCTGTCTATCTCTCTCATCTCTCTTCTCAATCTCTCTTCTCTTTATCTCTCTCGCTCATCTCTCTCTGTCTCTCTCTCGTTTATCTCTTTTCGCTCTTTTTCTCTCTCTCTCTTTCTCTTTGTCTATATCTTTTCACCCATTTTTTCATCTTCCTCTCTCTCTTCTCTTTCTCTCTCTCACTCATCACTCTTTTCTTTCTGTCTATCTGTCTCTCTCTCTCTCTGTGTCTCTCACTCATCTATCTCTTCTCTCATCTCTTTTCTCTCCCTGTCTTTTTCACTCATCTCTCTTCTCTCTATCTCTTTCATCTCTCTCTATCTCTCTCGATCATCTCTCTTCTCTCTATGTCTCTCTCGCTCATCTCTCTTCTCTCTATCTCTCTCTCTCTCGTTCATCTCTCTTCTCTCTCTGTCTCTTTTTCTCTCTCTCACTCTCTATCTCTTTATCTTTTTGTCCCTCTCTCTCTCTTCTCTTTCTCTTTCTCTCTCTCTGCCACTATGTTCGCGTTGCTCACTCTCTCCCTTCTGTCTTCTCTATTTACTGAGCTCCCTCTCGATTTATCTATCCACTACAAGAAAATGCACTTTTAGCGACCACTTTGTCTTTCTCTCACTCATCACTCTGTCTCTCTCTCTCTCTCTCTTTCCTCTATGTGTCTCTTACTCATTTCTCTCTCTCTCTCACCACCCATCTCCATTACCACCTCCACCACTACTGCAAACGTCATTCCACTACCACCATTACTACCACTGTCGTCACTTCACCTCTACGACTACCATTACTACTACCATCGTGGGCCGTAGAAAAACATTTTTCATTGACCATAGAAAATTAAATTTTATTTTAGTGAAAAATATTTTTCATTAAAATATTACCCCTACTTCTACCAAATAAAAAATAATAATATTTTTTTCATCAAAATAAAAATGAAACAAATAAATTTTCAATCTTAGTAACTAAAAAAAAAAAATTTTTTTTTAAAAAATTCATTAACTACAAAAAATATATATTTTAACAAAAAATAAATTTTTTTGACAACGGCAACCCCGTTGCCAAAAAAAAAATAAAATTAAATGACATTATTTTATTATTTAAATTTCATTTCTGACCAAAAAAAAAAATTTATTTTTTATTCCCGCCCGTTTTTGTTTTTCATTCGCGCTCCCTTCCCCACCTTTTTTTTTCCCATTCGCGCTCATCACCCCCTCAAACAAAAAATCCCCAATCTCAAACCCAAAAATCCCTAATCTCTTCTTACCCCCCCTCTCTCGATCGACGGTGAGCGACGGAGGAGCAGCCGAAAGGGCAAACGAGCCTTAGCCGTTCGCCATTGCACAGCTCGCAGTCTCTCTCTCTCTCTCTCTCTCTCTATTTTATCCAGGTAACATTCTCTTCTGTCATTCCACTATTTCCTCTTGTCATTGACTTTTATCAGCTGAAAAATGTTCACTCGTTGTGTTGAATCCGAATACATGTCTCTACAATGAAAATAATTTTTTTGTTGTTCCTCTAATATGTTGAAACTAGGTATTTGCAAATATACGACAAATATCGTCACAGAGACACGATTTATTAAAACCCTAGATTATATATATTAGGCTGTATGTATATATATATAGATATGCATTTACACACACACTGCACCAACACTTACACTTGTTCTGGAAAATGTGGTGCGAGGGAGATTCACAGTGTAATTGGCAGATTATTTATCATTGTTCTTATTGTTTGTTCATTTTGTTATTGTTTTTTTCAACTGATTCATACAACACGCGTACCAGTTGTTAAAAATATTAAACATTTTGCGGTGCACAAAAAGTCAGTCGTTAAAAATATTACACTTTTTACGGCACACAAAAAGTCAATCATTAAAAAATATACTTTTCACGATACACATATACTAACTGTTAAAAATATTTTACTTTTTGCGACATGTAATTCCTGTCGTGAATAATATGACCAAAATAAAAATAGGCGCCAAAAGTAAAATACTCTGGCGCCAAATGTAAAATGAAATAATCTTCGAATTGGCGTAGTTGTCTCTCTCTACACGAATGCTAAAAGCTCAGTGATCTGTAGAAGTTACTACTACTCTCTACTCCACCACACTCTTCCATTTCAAACCCTAAATCTCTACTCCTCCACCACACTTCCATTTCAAACCCTTAAATCATATTCTCACTCTCTCCTCTAATTTCTCTCTCTACAACCCACAACGGCCATGGCTCTTCTCTCACCCAATTCATCGATCCAGAGCTGCCATGGAGACTAGCAAAAGGCGAGAGCTGGTTTTCAGAGACTTCCATTACCTTTTACCCGTTCCGAACTCACTCAACACTCATCACGATTACCCCTCTTCCTATTCCCTTCTTCAGATCTAATTTTTGTGTACCCTTTTGTTGTTTTCTTGTTGTGTTTTTGATTTTTTGAAGAAAAAATTGTGTTTTTGATTTTGGGTTTTTTGTGTTTAGATGGATCGGTATCAGAGGGTAGAGAAACCGTGGCCAAAGACGCCGATTAAGAATGAGATTCGTATAACCACTTAGGGAAGGATGAGGAACTACTTATTTATGCTACCACTCTGTTTAAGGTCTCTCTCTCTCTCTCTCTCTCTCTCTCTCTCTCTCTCACACACACACACGCGCACACACACACATATGGAAAAATTAGGGTTTTGATTGAGCAAATTAAAAATTAGAATTGTGTTTCAGGTTGTGAAATTATTATTTTTTTTTTTGTTTTTAAATTTCTTGAATGCGAGTTGGGGAAAATATCTGAATCTGAATTGGAAAAATTAAAACCTGAATGTGAAATTAGGTTCTTGGGTTGAACACATTTTTTTTAAATATAAATTTGTTGAATCTAAAGAAATTGGGTTCTATTACGAATCATCTTCCGGCAATAGGAATCATAAATGCACAAACCATCATATAGAATGAAAGTGAAACACAGCACACAGGGAAATCTTGAAAGACAAACACAGTTGTGACAGCAGTGTTGCAGTAATTTAGAATGTAGAACTATATTCCACTGTATACAGATGAAAGGTGCTATATGTAATGATAGTTTATGTTAATTTTGTGAAGAAAAAAAAAGGCAACAGTTTCATTTAGTTTGGTGAGCACACAATTTAAAAATTACACTGTTGTTTCATAATTTTTAACCAGAAACATGACCCACATACTAAAAACCTTAGTGTGTGACCTGACAAACACCGACAATTTTTTCATCTTTCCCCAGAAATCAAGGTTAAGTGGCCAAACCAGGTAACCACTTGGCTTACACTGGCAGTGGTATAAGGTAGACAAAATGGAAGCTTGGAACTTCCAAGTTTTGCTGAAACTTTTTAACCTTATTCTAATGATATCCTTTAACTAAAGAATGGAAGACAACAGGACATCTTTCATCTTAGAAATTTGCTAAAACAGAAAAAGGCAAAGCATTTATATTGCTTTCTTTTACGTCTCAGAAAGAAAATTTGAAGCATAATATTGCCTTAACAATTCCAATGTGAAAAGATGACAAACTTGTTCCTGATAATTTCCAATATGGCACATATACATATAAACCCAATCAAATAGCTCTATAATAATTCCTGTATTCCTGTATAAAATTGTCAAATTGTCCAATACAACCGAGCTGTCTTCAAGAAAGTACCAGCTCAATAATGTTGTGCTTCTCCTTCAGCCATAGACTATTCTTCAAACTTTGCCAATGGGCTTCCTTTCTCATTTGAGATTCAGGTGCAGATTTTTCTTTTTAATTTTATTTTTGAAACAAAAAAGAAAACACAGATGGCTGTGGAAACTTCTTCAAAAATAGAATTGTCAAGATCCAATAAAGCTTTATAGAACGTTATTAACTAATTTAAGTTATGCACTCAAGAAGTGGGTTATTGCTTTGTTACTTGTCAAAAGAGAGTTTGATCATAAACAAAAGGCAAGGTCCCTTTTAGGAAACCGCATTAATGGTTCAATTCCAAAGGAAATCAAATCAGAGACATTGCTACTCTTGAGGAGCTATAAGTCATGGATACTGTTTTGTCTACTGGACTAATAAATGAAGCCTAACCTTGATTTTAACGTGAACTATCTTATACAGGGTCTTGGAAGATAGTCAGCTTGGAGGACCTCTTCATCAAAACCTTGGAAATTTGAGCTGCATGAGGAGGCTGTAAGAAAGTTCTTTCTTTTTGTTTTAAACTTAATACTTTCTTCTAAAGTATACACTTGAATATACCGAATTACATGGTGGTGCTATCATTGCCAAAGTTTCTTATCTAAATTGCTTTTCTGGTTGGAGATAGAGTATTAATGTGTTGAAAAACAGCTGTGTGATCAGGAAGGGTTTCGTATGCATGATCCTGTCCAGCTGTGACCTTCAAATATTGGATGAGAAGTGCCATGAGAACTTGCTTTTTTAACTTCCCAGTACTGTTTCCATAAGGCTTTTTTTTTATTTTTTTATTTTTATTATAAAAAATTTTGTGATCTTTTTAAGCTACATTGAAAGAGAGCATGGCTATTTTGAATTTAAAAGCATCGTGATTATTGTTGATGCATTTCTTGCCTTGTCCAACATTCAATCATTGTGTCTATCAATATATAGAGTAATGCTATACAAACAAAAAATTCATATATAATGATGTGACTCATTGTAGACCTTTCACTTCAAAACAAAACACCATTGAAGATGGATTTATTTATAATAATGGCATTGCCATATCATTCTTATCAAGTTTTTTGTATGAATTTTATGTATGTTTATAATTGTCCCAATATATATGGTAGTCTTTGTCTGAGATTGCAGTGTCAAACATCTCTTACATGCATTGAACATTGTCTTTTGGGTATCTTTGTATGTTGAGTTGAGTGCGACAAAATGATGTTAACATTGCCACTACTGGTGCTATCGTTCTCATGTTGTTTCAAGGGAATTTATAATGGATAGTTTTCTGCAGCTTTCTTTCTGCCAACAATTTTACTGGAACAATTCCAGACACATTCAGCAAATTGAAGAACTTGACAGATTTGTAAGTGGTAATTATTTTGACATTTATTAGTCTTGAATTTTAGTAAATCTAAAACTTCTTCAACTAATTGCAGTAGGATAGATGGGAGTGTACTATCTGGGAAGATACCTGATCTGATTGGGAACTGGACAAAAATTAAAACACTGTGAGTATCGTTAGTAGTTCCATGCATTAGCAATCTTTTCCCTGCCTATGGAATTCTAACAAGCTTTCTCTTAATTTTTTAATTTTACCTAAGAACATCTCAAATAATTGTTAAATAATCTATTTCAGGCACATGCAAGGCACATCCATGGATGGTCCCATTCCTTCTACCATATCCCAGCTGAAAAACATAACCGAGTTGTGAGGACTTATTTACATTTGTAATTACTTGTATCATATTTAGTAAATTCCCTAATTACTGGTCCAATCCCAGATTACATTGGTGAATTGACTACACTTAAAACATTGTAAGTTATTCTAATAGTATTCTTACTGGGATGCATGGTTTATATTTTTTTTAATCGAATGCTGATTTGATATCTCCAAACAGACTAAACAGAGAAATGCCAAATTTATGCTTGTAATCTGGAATGAAGTGGTTGCACTAGATGTTTCACTTGGCATGTTACATTATATGTGATCATTGCAGTGAAGGATAAATAGTTACAACATCAAAGCCAAAGAATATGTAAATGATGTGATGTCTTGTTTCTTCTTCAAATAATAAAAAATAAATAATTTTATAGGCTTGTCAATACCCTTGGAACCCCCAAGGACACCCCACAGCTCCGTGAGAAATTGTGAGTGTCATCTCTCTACTTTCATGATCTTCGGGGGGGGGGGCCCGATTAAGCAATTGGGTCAAGTTGGTTTTGTTACAGATATGAATTAAGAGTTTTGAATAAGGATTTATGGTTGTTTTGGGAATTGACTCTCTTAGTAGTTTTTGGGTATTTACGAAAAGCTCTTCTTTTTTTTTTTGTGGCTAAAATTGTAACTTCCCAAAATAGCCTTAATAGATGATGAGTTTGACTTAGTGGGTTAGAAATTTTGGTTATGATGATTAGAAGACCGAACTGGAAGGGGATGATGATAAGCAAATTGGATTGAGTAGTAAAAAAATTGATCTCAGTAAGTAATCTGGTTTGGACAAGTTATGGTATTGATGCAGTAATAGATCCTTGCCATTTGGGCTCAATTCTTGTATGGAATATGCCTAGTTGATGAAACATAGAAAATGTAATTTGACAGATGCTAACTGTTCCCATACTAGGACTGTGAGCGAGGAGGGTTTATTGTGATTCTATGGGTTGAGTTTGGTGAGAACCTAGACTTGACTTTCTGCTGTTTATTTGCAGGTTTTCAGCTGGTCTATTTTAGGGGAATTGTTTATTTGAGGGTTGAGTGATTGAGGCGTATATTGTTGTATAGTTTTTTCTCTTTCAGTAGTTGACTGCTTGGTGTGAGTTGAGTGTTGTCTGTGGGTTGATTGATATTAGCCAGTTTTATGCGAGTCTTGCAGTTACCTATTGTTGAATTGTCCTATTAATATGTTGATTGCTTGGCTCTCTTAGGATCATTTAACAGAATGATGGCCTGGAGCAAGTAATCCATTTTGATGGATCTTGTCCCAATTGTTGATTGTTGAAGCTCTTGTTTTTGCTGCTGGTTGTATATGTCACTGTGTTGAAGAGTTGGCTGTTTGTATGCTGGTTCTTTTCTGTTACCTTTGTTGTTGCCTGGTTGCTGGTTCCTGCTGGTGTTGCTGTGTTCTTTGCTGTTGCCTTTTTTGGGTTTTGTTCTGGTTTTTGTTATTTTGGATCTTTTTAGTGGTTAAGTTGTGCCCAGGTTATGTTGTTCTAAGGCTTTTTGTTCGCCTTGTTCTTGCCCCTTATTTGCATCTTGCTCATGTGTTGTTTGAACATGATGGTTCTTTTTCTAGTGTGTTCTTGTTTTTTTTTTTTTTTTTTTTGTTTTGTTGGTTGCTGTGTCCCTGTATAGTTGGTTAGCTCTTGGGGTATACCCCTTGTAGTTTTTTTGTTGTTTAATTTATGACTTATTCATCAAAAAAAAAAAAAAAACAATTAGATATGGCAAATTCAGCTCAAGGCACCAGAAGCTTATATATATTGGTTGTCGGCTGTATTCCTTTCTACGGTTCTACAAAGAGTGGTCTTGTTAATGCTGGTATATTGTAAGAATATTGGAAAAGCTGGCAAATTATGCTCACGTCAAGTGTTGTGTTATTCTTTACTCGATTGATAATGTTTGTTAAATCACATTATTGCTTATTGCTGCTGCTCTCCAGGCTAAAGTTGTTCCTCAGCAAGTATTACCCGTTTGAAAAACTTAAATAGGCAAACCATTGATGTTCTGGCAGCGAGACTCTACTTCTATTACTCTCTCAATTATGAGCTCACTGGTGATCTTGCTGAAATTCGGAGGTGAGTACTCTCCATTAATATCAATTCCTTACTTTTATTTGAAATCATTTGTATGTCCTTGCATCTGAGAGTAATGCACAAGTACGTATTTAACAAAATAAATAGGAAGAAGGAACAAGATTAGAGAGGAATTAGTTGATGGCATGATATGAGGACTTATTTACATTTGTAATTACTTTTATCATATTTAGTAAATTGCCTAATTACTGGTCCAATCCCAGATTACATTGGTGAATTGGCTACACTTAAAACATTGTAAGTTATTCTAATCAGTATTCTTACTGGGATGCATGGTTTATATTTTTTTTAATCGAATGCTGATTTGATATCTCCAAACAGACTAAACAGAGAAATGCCAAATTTATGCTTGTAATCTGGAATGAAGTGGTTGCACTAGATGTTTCACTTGGCATGTTACATTATATGTGATCATTGCAGTGAAGGATAAATAGTTACAACATCAAAGCCAAAGAATCTGTAAATGATGTGATGTCTTGTTTCTTCTTCAAATAATAAAAAATAAATAATTTTATAGGCTTGTCAATACCCTTGGAACCCCCAAGGACACCCCACAGCTCCGTGAGAAATTGTGAGTGTCATCTCTCTACTTTCATGATCTTCGGGGGGGGGGGGAGGGGGGTGCCCGATTAAGCAATTGGGTCAAGTTGGTTTTGTTACAGATATGAATTAAGAGTTTTGAATAAGGATTTATGGTTGTTTTGGGAATTGACTCTCTTAGTAGTTTTTGGGTATTTACGAAAAGCTCTTTTTTTTTTTTTTGGCTAAAATTGCAACTTCCCAAAATACCCTTAATAGATTATGAGTTTGACTTAGTGGGTTAGAAATTTTGGT